CCGGCGGAGCCGGCGGAGCCAACGGAGCCGGCGGAGCCGGCGGAGCCGGCGGAACGATCCGGACGGGACCGAAACCATGTGTACCGCCAGCGCTAACGCTGGTGGTACAATAAACTCAGTCAACAAGACATATTGGGTAAAACAACTTTAAGACTCCTTACTTAATTTAAAATAAAAATAAATTAAGTGAATCAGATTGACATCTAGATTATTATTATTTTTTTAAATTTTGCACAACTACTTTCATTTTATGATTATCATTAGTATATTCAGGGGGCAGCTTATAAGACACTTAAGACTCTAAGGCCCTTTTCACAGAGCTTTACAGTTACTTCAGCAATACAGCTTTGCCAGTACACTCTGAGGGATTGACAACTTAATAGCCTGTCTATTATAGGTTTAAGAGTCACCTAAACAGAGCCCCTCTTTTTGACAGACAGTCAATCAACCCCTGTCCAAACAGTAGGATGTGATCTTGCAGAAGGAAGCCCTCCCCTGCAGCATAATTTCATGTTGGGACCTATCAAAGTGTACTAGCACAGCTGTACCACTAAAGTATACAGCTTGATGTAAAAAGGGCCTAACTTAATAGGGTACTGAATAAACCATTCTAGAATCACAGTACTCTGTAAAATTTAAGGAGTCTCATGCAGGGTGACTAGGTGCTTGCTTAACTATGTTGTCTGCGTGTGTTTTGAAGTGGTGAGCTTCCACTCAACTCACTCCCACCTAGGCAGCAAGAGAGAGAGCGATTGTCCCCTGTCTGTGCCTGCACGTTGCCCTTCTGTTTCCGTACTTTCCTTCCACCTGACGATCAGATAGAGGTCAAGACAAAGCATGGTCCAACAAACAACAACAATCGACCTCAAAAAATTAGTATTTTCATTTAAAAAAGTGACAAGTCATTTTGCACTTGGTAAAATTGCTATTGCTACTGACTTATTTTGATTTCTATTTCTGTACAGTTGAAAAAAGACATGGTGCTAGCAGCAAATAACTGATGGATTATATTCTTTCTCTGAAATATACTGTTCAAATGTTTGTTGGTTGACTTTACTCATATTCTTGAGGAGTTCGTGTTTGACTCATAATCAGTGACAGTAATTTCGAAAATATATTATTTTTACTTTACAGATTTGATAAGCCATTCATTTCAAAATGCACAGAAATAAATCAATTTTTTTAAAATGAGAAAAGTATCTTAATAAAGCTCAAGTTCATTACTGTTCAATCATCTATATGATCTTCTATGTTATAAAGACAGTGTTGCCTAACTAGTTTTGACATTATGCCATTTTGTGGATGGTTTGAAATGAAATAAAATTATATTAAATCAAATCAAATCAAATGAAAATGTTGTACAACATCCAACAATATTTTAACAAAATACATCTTAAGAAATCTATCCCAGCAATACATTTCCATAAAGTTTCTTAAATTGTTACTCAAACCCTGCCTTACAAATATACTTGTGATTTGTGATTTTTATGCCAAGAAAAGCAGATTTTGAAAGCACACACATTCTACAATCACTCCAAGCAAGAGTTTCTAAACTTCAAAGATCACTTCTTAAATAATAATAAATCCATAAGCAATCACACAAAACCATTCACAAAAACTTCATATCTGACATAAAGAAGTAAAACAAAACAGACTAGTCTACCTGTTTGATGGCTGATCTGGTATTATTTTGGGGGTCCTCATTGAGGTATCTCTCAGGGCTCTCCCCTCCCTCTCCTGTGTTGGATTTGCCACCCAGACGGTTCATGGCAATAGCAAGCGTGCTGTGGGCCTCCAGAGAGATACTACCAAAACTCATGGCACCTGAAATACAGGACGAGTGATTTTTACCAATAAAATAAAACCATCTAGATAATGTGGGGTTATTCATGTCATTTAACAGATTGGTGGGTATTATCTTCAGGAGACAAAAATATCTGCATCACTCCAAATCTTCAATATATATGAACCAGCCTCTCAAAATTAATTTATTATTGACATAAACATAAAAATATAGTCACATAAAGTGCAGTGATATTGTTGAAGACAGTTAAATAATTATAATGCCTACCTGTGACAAATCTCTTGACAATATTGGCCGCTGGCTCCACCTCACTGATGTCCACCTGCTGCTTGGACACTCTCATGTCCAACTGGCCTCTCAGGGTGCACCACCTGGTGGACTCAGTGGCTGACTCTACAAACTTGCTGTAGGCAGACTTGTTATTGTTACGAGCTGCATCCTGTAATTTTCACAGAGAAAATGTTGATATCCTATTCAAGTAAAATGTGGTCAAATTTCCCAATCAATCATAGACACCACAAAAATACCATTTACTGTTATCCAAATAGTGCTAGGTGGCAAGTGTTTTTGTCTTGATCATAAATTTAATAGCTCTGTTTTGTACTTCTAAAAATATATATATATAGTTGCATATTAACATGTGGTTGAAAAAAAAACATAACTATAGTAACTAACAATATGACATTATTCAAACAAAAAGTTTTGAACAACAATCATCAAACTAAACTGATTCGATTGCCTACCTGTAGGTTAGCAATGGTGGTGGGATCATTCATATGTTTTTCTCCTCCCTGTCTCCAGTGATAAAAACCTGGGTTGGTGATGATGAAATTATCGCCTTCCTTCCTGCTGTAGGCATATGCATGTCTGTTCAGTACCTAGAGCATGAGATCAAAATCATCAGGTGACAACAAATGAATATTTTACTTGTACAGTTGTGCAAGATGTCAGTGATGTAATATCATCTCATTAAGTATTGTTTTTATATTAATGTAGAACAAACTTCTGCTACATGAAAACAACCAAACCTCTTGGGCCAACACCCTGAAGGTGGCTCCCCCTATCCTGGAGGCAGTACCCTCGAAGCATTTCTTGATAACCTCCTCATGCAGACCCACTGCTTCAAAGATCTGGGCACCCTGGAACAAATATGCGAATGTATTTAACAAACAATTATTGAAATCTTATCAATAAATAAGGTTGAAGCTGT